CACTTTATGTGGAATGTGTACATGCAGGCATCCGTTTTCTATGAATGAGATTTCGAGAGCTGCTATAAAGCAGAGCTGCGGTTACCGCCGTCAGCACTCAGCCGGCCCATAAAATCCTGTGCTGGACCGTTTGTTACTAATTAACTAACTAACTAGCAGAGAGGCACGACGATTTGTTGAGCTGCAATCCACAGCAATGGGTGTATATTTTTGTTCAATGCCTCGTTTGATAATTGAACAACTTTGCATTGCTAAAAAACAGCAATAAAACAGTTAAATATTAGAAAGAATCTTTTTTTCGGTTTATACCATGAGAAAAGCACAGAGAGTACATGTACAAATTTAAAAGTATTTGTAAAACTGTGTGTCTCCAAGACGTTGCAGTTACAATTGTAAATGTATGGTGGTTGAAGACCGCACAATGTTCATGTATTTATTCTACATGACCAGGCTTTTTTAAGGAAATCCATGATTCATTAGCGTATATTTCATGAGGACTGAGAAAAGTGGCAGTGGTTTATATACATGTACTTGTGCATATATATGTTATATTTTAGTTCTTCTTTACCCACAGGTCCACTGGCAGTTGCAGCCATCCACAATCCTGAGCAACGCTTGCTGGTGTTGGAACGTGGAAGCAAGTATGTCAAGGTGTTCAACATGAAGGACAACACTCTTGTTATGCAGTTCCCAACAGTGGAACAGAGTCACATTGACGAGACACGTGTAGACCTACGCAGTGTAGGCTTCAAGAATGGTACAATCTTAGTAGGTGATACAAAAAGGATGGTATGGACTGAACACAGACCCACTGATGGTGAGATCCTACACACCATACCAGTGAAGACTCCGCCTTACTACCTGGCTGTTGATGACGTCACTAATAGAGTTGTGGTCAGTGGAGGTAACACAAAGAAAGTTGATGTTGCAGATAGTAAAGGTACTTCGCTCGCCACCATCCAACCAACCATGAATGGTGAGCCAGTGGAGGGCCGTGGTGTATGCTGTGACAGCTCAGGCATCTACCTTGCAGTGTTCCACGGTGTGACTAGCACTGGTCATATTCACCACTATGACCTAGATGGCGGGTTTCTTGATTGCCTGGCTCTGGGTCATTTCACCCCACGTGGAATCACATTCACACTGGATGGCCAGCTGGCAGTGGCTGACAACCTGTCAGTCACGATGTATCACAAGGTGTGATGTCATCCAACATGACATAACTAGCAATCATCATCATCCCAACAGCGAATGTTAAGGATGAAATTGTCCAGTCATGCGACAGCACCAATCCACATTCATGTCTCACTTATTCCACAAATCTCCTAAAAAATCACAACACAAACACAAATTGCCAATCCCTCTTACTAGAACCATTTTAATATCCGAGTGTACAAAAACTCTGAAAGTAATCAGTGTTCATTTTATGACTGGAAACTATATACTTCTGCAGTAAATTTGAGAGGGGAGGGGACTCCAGTGCGTGTTGAGGTGTTTGTTTGAAGAACCACCATCTCCCCACCCCATCAGCCAGAATGGGCTTGCCTTAAGCCAACACTAACAAACTTTTTGTGTTGTTTACAAAACCCCAACTTCATCTAAGGCTTCTGCTTCATCTCCACCCCAAGATTCCTCAGAATCCTACCACATTCAAAATACACCAACTATCCTTTGGCCTTGTGTGACAGGATTTGGTGTCTCTAAAGAAAAAAATGGACCAATATTGTACTGGAGTTACATCAGGGGACAAAAAAACATGCAGCGTGAAGCCAAAGCCAGGGACAAATCCAAGATTTCACAAACACAATTAAGATTCTCCAATTGTTCCTTACGGGGACAATTAATATTCTTATATGTTCCTCATGAAACTTGCTGTACATGCTGCTATCTTTCATAACAAAGATTTGAGAAGCTAATGGAATCATTTTGTTCTTGCGAGATGCAATATTCTTTAAAGTGATCTTTGATAAATTATAACTTAAATGTTGAATTTGGTGCTATATTATTAGCGTTCAAGAAAAGCCTTTGTCACCAAAACGCTGACAAGTCAAGTGACTTGTCAAAATATATCCTGAAGAGGATGACAAAGATCAGTCCATTAATGTGTTTTCACATCTTCACTCAATCTTAACAAACTTTGTTGACAGTGTTCATGAGGTTTATATCTTGACCTCATCAGGTAGTGGTGGGGCATAGCCCTAATATTCTAAAGGATTAAAGCATGAAACTTCGCATGGTGGTTCTTCATGCACCTTTGAGAGGTCAATGAACTTTACACACTGTATTTATAACTTTTGTTCTTCAAACCTTCACTTTCCTATGACCCAAGTCTATGACATAGGTCTTCATACAACATGTACAATGGAAATAATGATCAGATGTTGGAACAATTCACATCTGACCAATTCATGCTATTAAGAGAATTGTCATATACATGTATAGAACATGATATATTCAACTCCTGGTGACCTTACGAGAGTCATGACCTGTGTAAAACAATAGCCTACCTATGGATATTAATACGATTAACACGATTGTAAATGTCACTTTTTCATGACCCAACTCTAAAATTTCACTTTCTGTGCAATGAAAAGAATTTTCAGATGTGGGGATATCATATTTGACATAGTGATACCCTCGAAGAGGTCAATGAACTTTGTATGCCTTATTGCCGTTATTTATCATATTATTCATCAAAACGCCATTTTTTTCATGACCCAAGCCTCAATAGTGCCAAAGAATGGTACTGCACCAATCAGTTTCATGTCGTGATGAATTCAGACCCCACAAACAATTTTGAGGTGACCTCTGACCTCGTTTCTCCTTGTTTTATTGGCAGACGCAATATGGTGAGATTGGAACTTACATTTGTCAGTCTGTTTTGTAATGGAAAATGTACATGTGTCAAGCAACATTCACTCTTGTGTATTTATTACACCCTGCTGTATCCAGATGGACTTGGATAACCACGTTTTTAACCTTTTAACCAAGTCCAATGGTCACTGTTAGAGAGTGATGCTTGTCCGATGTGCCTCTTTTATTCTGTTGCACCTGCGTTTGCCCTTATAAAAAGGAAAATTTAGATCAGAGGTCATGCAAAAAATTCTTTGGGGTAAGACTTCATGAAATGTTGTAGAATTATTATTTAAAAAACACTTTTTTGGCTCTAAATAGACTTTGGTCATGAAAAAGTGCCATTTGCAAGATTAAACATGATAAATAATGGCAATCAGAGTATACAAAGTTCACTGACCTCGTAAAGGTCATCAGACGTCAATTATGAAATGTCTACATATCTGAAAATTAATATTATGGCAAGAATACCCAAAATGTCGATATGGGTAATAAAAAGTGGTGTTTTGAATAGTTTATCCTCTTATTATCTTTACATAGGATGCACAGAGTTTATTGACCCCTTGAAGGTCAACAGAGGTCAGACATAAGATTCCCTTCATATGAAATTCTTTCATAACATGAGCAACTTAACATTATGACTTTGGTCTTGAAAACGTTGGGCCTTAAAGGGGTAAATGGTATAAATAACTATAGAGTTAGTGCAGTTAATACAAAGGTCGTTGACCTCTGGAAGGTCATCAGAGGTCAATTGTGATTTTTTTTCTGTATTTGGTTTTATCTACATTGTATGAATTAGACTATACATAAACTTATAGGAAAGTGATTTTTGAGAACAATAGGTATAAATAAAGTATTCAAAGGTTATTGACTCCTTAAAGGTCACCAAGGTTCAGATATGAAATGCCTCAATATCTGAATTTTTTGGCATGGTATGAAGACCTCACATGCCAAGTTTCACGCTTTTATCACAAATTGCACAATTCTGTCTCTATTGTTCATTCCGCACCTTAAATAAGAGGCTTTTAATAGTAAAATAGAAATAGAAATTTTGAGTATTACAACCACTTGAGATGTAGCCATACTACATGTACAAGTATTTTGTAAAATAATATCGTTTAAATTCATTTTAAGCAGAAGCATCACCATGATAGTAAGTACTCATATTACTCCTCAATATCAGCCTTTATTTACTCAGTTTTTGTACTACTTTTTGTAGTTTCTGTTCACACGTTTGGATCTACAATACATTTATACTGAAGATAAATTACTCATTCAAAGGTTTGCGAGAGATGAGTGACAATGCTCATTCTTTTGATTTAATTTCCTGTCTGAATTCACAGAAAGAAGACTTGTGGTGACTGTGTTTATAAGAATGCTTTTATCTTGATTTGAAATTTGGTACTTATTTTTTTCTCGGACTGTCAAATATCCCATCAGTTTGTATATCATTTTGAGCACAATGTACAAATCAGTGTACAAGCTATGGCCTCCGTTGCCTTGATTTTGGCCTGACCGCCACCTTGAACAATTGAATGGTCCCACAAATTGGAATTTCTTAATGCAAGCTTGTTTCTAATTAGCAAACAAAAAAACATTTCCTTGCCGTTTCACGAATTGAATTCCATACTGATGTTTTAAATGGTTTACGTTTTTGGTTGCAATTTCAGTAAACTTGGAAACAACGAAAAATCCTCACTTCAGTTTTAAGTGCCAACCAAAAACAATATCATTTGTGTGCATAGTCAATCTTATCAGTTACAATACAGTTTAAATTTAATTTTTAAGTGTTTAACAATGCACCACTGTATGTAGATCTTATAAGTAACAAGACTTGGTAAACTCCCTTAGATTCTTACTGTGCTATATGTACATTACATTTTCTAATAATGGATAAGTTTAATTATTTGTTCACTTTTTGCAGCCACGTCGGATCATTTGCAATTACCCAGATAAGTACATGTACCTACAGATTTAATGACAATACCCTCAAAGTGAAGATAGGACTGTTAGCCTGTGAAAAAAACCTGTGAAATAATTCTGCCTGAAACGGTATTGTCAGAAAAAAATCATTGAGGTTGGTTTCAACATGGGTACCTACAGAATCCAGTTTACGAGATCCAAAGAATTCTGCATTACGCTTTCTGTTTTTTCCAAAATGTATAGTAGACACTCAGCTAAGGCTTGAACAGAATAATAAAGTAATACTTTAAATGTTGAACACTTTTGATGCTTAAAAAAACCTGCCAAAGGCAAATGATCCTATGTACAATGTACCGTTAAGCAAATGTATCACTATGAAAGTTGATAAAGATTACTTTCAAAATGAGTCTTTTAATATCCACTAAAAAGAGGATTCTTGTAGTTTTTGCATTTACAAGCTTTGTCCATTTGAATTTACATTAATGAAACACTAATGTTGATAATAATTTAATCATCAAAATGTCTGCTAAAGATGAACAAAAATACTTATCTAATTTGCCTACCTGTCTGAATTTACAGAATAAAGACTGCTGTGAACTATAATCACAATTGGATTGTCTTGACGAAATGTTTTATTTTTCTTTAATGGTAAACACATTCTTGGTTGCAAATTATTGTAACACATGTTCAAGTCAATTGCTGTATTGAATTTCAGGAAGCTGTGGCCTCCGTGGCCTTCACTGTGGCCCGACTGCCTCCTGAAGATTCTCTTGCCTTTTCGAGAATTAAATTCCATACCTCTGTTTTCATTGTTTTACCTATTTGGTTGCCATATCAAAAACTTGAAAACACTCAAACAAAAAATCATTCTCACTGCAATTTGAGTTTCAACAAAGGATTATTAAATACATGAAACTTTTCAAACTCTCTTAAGAATTAACTCACCTCTCTCTGTAGTTCTTTGCAGTGGTTCTTTTCTTCATCTAAAAATTAAAAACAAAAATCATGCCTTAAAATAACTATACTGTTATTCCACTTGGAAACCTCAATCCCCAAAGAAACCCACAAAGTGAAGTCTCCTGAATCCAACAGAATCCCACAACTCAGATACATACAAAAAACTGCTACTGTGGAATCGGGTTGAAACTATCACACGTGGTTAACTGTCAATGGCTGTGTTACGAACTATTTTCTACAAATTTGGGCAATTACATATTCATCAATTTTTTGGGATAACCTTTGTTTGACACGTAAATATGCTGACAATTTTATTAGTGGATTCCAGCCGGACAAGTAAATTCCAGATTTCTTGGACCAGTCTTCATAGCCGCATGAAAAGGTTAATGGTTACACCTTTTCTTCAGACCCCCCCCCCTTTACTGCGCCCTTTACGATGACTCTCCATCCCTCCATTAAATATTGAGTATCTGTAATTGTGCCGACACCTGTTATGATTACTTAAAAACTGAATATGATTAAAAAATAGTGCCGCCTTGTGCATTTTTTTCATAGAAAATTATCTTCTTGAAGTTGGCTTTTAGGGGTTGGCTGTTGAAATATGTATGTTCCTACAACTTTGGCTGTAACTTGGAATTTGCCAGCTAGAACCCTGACCCTGCAATACAGTCCGTGTTCTTAATCTTCACTTGATGACTATTATGCAACTTCAAATTTCACACAGTACATCAGGAATACATTTAAATTGGACTTGCATGTATTGCAGTACATATTAAAAGTATAGAGAAATATATAACAGACTTTAAGACCATCTCCAAATGGATACGGCTAGCAAAACACATGCATCTATGAAAGCAGCTGAATCCGCATCCCATAGACACATGTGTTATGGTACAAGCTACTACCAATAATATTGAAGACATGAAGCTCTAATTGAGACAGGACCCACCTTTGAGTTCATGCCATGAACTTGCGTGGTGGCTACAGGGTTCCAGACTGTTCATTCCATGAGCTGTCATCCCTCCCCATCTCCAATGGCCATGTTGACTCGCTGTCACTTGTGAGCTGGGCAGTGCTGTTGTATAGGATTACCCTGTAACGTACATCAATGGGTAAAATCAATTAAATAGGACTGTGTGTACTCTGGAACCAACTTTAACTGCCTTGTGATGTTGTAACCTGTTTTCAAGTCCTGAATTCATGCTGATTGAGTGTAGTAGAGGTGGTGAGCAGGTGAGATGCTTACTTGTTCCTTTGGAAGCCATCCTCTCTGGACACTGTCTTGATGGGGAAGTTAGGCATCCTGTTTAGCGGCTGTGCCTGGTATGTCCTCTAATAAGTTGCTACTTGGGATCCAGTCACTGCTGCTCCCTGGGGGAAAAATTCAGAAGACAAAGTTGTTTTTTTTAGGAAAACATTCTCTTAACTGATACTGCTAATTTGAACATCCTGCATGTCCACTGAGTTTAGAAATCACAGTCATCTATTTTCAAGTTAAATATCATGGCTAGAACTTAAATGTTATCATATCCTCCTGAATTGGTTCAACAGCATTTTATGATCGTATCGGATCTTTTAGCTGAGTTCTTCAATTACAATCTTTAAGTACCACGCCGAAAAAATACTTCACACCCCCTTTATCTTGATGCTCCAGATATTATTAATTTCCTTGCATCTAATGAAAGTGTGTGGCAAATGAAAACTGAGCTTACCTGGTGTATAAGCCCAGATGCTACTCCCTGGTGAACCAACAGGGTAGCCCAGATCATTGACAGGTACAACAACAAAGCTGACAAGTGTCTTGCGTTGCCCTTGACTATGCTCATTGCTAACTGGAATTGGTATGCGGCGATCTGTTCAGTTGCCATGGTGACCAAACTAGGTGCGGTGGTAGGTGCATGAAGCATCAAGCTCAATGAAATATGGGTGAGCTGTGCAAATTAAATGAAATTGAAATTATAAAAAAAACTCACAATATGACATTATAATGATCAACTGTTTTTCATTATTTGGTAAGCTTTTGTAATTTTGGGGGCATTGTGTAGCTGTGAATACAACTACATGTATATAATAGGAGAGGGTTTGCAGATACACCAAGTAAAATGACTGTCTAAAAATACTATTTAATAATTGATTAAACTAATATTGCGCTCTCTCCACAAATACTGCATCAGACAGTTACTCCCTTTCCCTGTATCCTATCACCAACATTTGCTGAAATGCTCCAATTTTTCAATTATTTGTAATTATAATATTTTTTTACAGCTGAGATACAGACGGAACTCGGAAGTTCCGTCATTTCGAGTGCGACATTTTGACATCTGAGTACTCGTACGAGTACAAGTACGAGTATGAGTACTCTAAAAAAAAAAAAAGAACTCGAGTTCAAGTAGTACTTGAGTACCAGTACCGAGTACGAGTACTACATATACTACACTGGAACAAAGAGTATATACACAACTGTACATATTATTACACCAAATATGAAAAGACCAATTAGATTCCTCATCTGGCTCATTTTTATAATTCTAATCCTAAATGAAACTATAAATTTTTTACCTGCAACCTTTTTGAATGTCTTTTATAGGTTTTAACGCAATTTCAATGCCCCCTTTTTAAAGTAAGATAAATTGATTGCAACACAGTCTGTAACAATAATATGTATTTCTCTATATAGACAATTTTCTTTAGTCAGATCTGTATGCACAATGTTTAAACCTTTTCTAATATTAGTATTTAATGTCGTATTTTGTTTTTTAACTCGGTAGGCCTTTAACTTTTTTAAAAACATATTTTTTTAAAATGTAAATCACGTGCAATTCAGCTGTGGCTGCCATTTCGGATTTGTTAATAAACCATGTTGAATTGAATTGAATTGAATAGATAATTAGTTAAAACAAAATGTAAGAGTCAGTTCATATAAATACTTCATATCAGTGTCCACGGTAAAACAAAACGAACTCTTAAAAAAGCAAAGGAAATCTGAATTTGGTGGCACTTGTCTGAAAGCAATTTACAAATTATTTGCGCTTGTAAAAATATGCTAGCTTTAGAAAGTTTTTTGTTTCCTGAATTTTAACTTAAATCAAAGAAAAAACACAAAATAGTTTTCTCTATTATCATTTCTTGATTGATGCTGCAGAAAGAGCTACAAACAGTTGCCTGAAATTTTCTCATCAAATATTAAAAAGACAAAGTTAAAAAAAAAATCATCACAGCCAACTGAACAGTACTCTGCGTTCCCAGCTGGCAAGTTGCTTTTTATTGTTTAGAGGGGAAAGGTTTGTGGGGTGGTAAAATAGCATTAAATGCATGTTTTTTTCTAGTTGTGAAAACAAATGGATTTTAAAAAGTACATATAACATGAGGCTGTGTACCGTAGTGATATAGTTAACTGTGTGATGTTGTTTAGCATTTTGGCTGGGTGACCTTTAAAGAAAGCACAAATATACATTTGTAACGAGCCCCAAAATTTGCCGAAAATTACAAAACATGTGACCTCTTACCATGGGAATGGGCCTTATACATATTTTAAACGACTATGTTTGGTCAATTTTTGATCATGGACACTTGGCAACTCGTATTCAACAAGTGGTCAATTTTACGACTGAAAATTCTGAATGACGCTAGTTTGTGAGCTAAGTCAAAGGAATTATAGAGATTCAAACTTGTTCATTTGGGGATATTATACCAACAGAACTACAAAAAAGAGAGATTAAATGAGAACATCATGTCACAGAATGGAAGGAAAAAGTAGGTACAGGTACATTATTACCTCATTTGATGAAACTAGTTTACAAGTTAAGAATGACATGTACAATGCACAGATGTATGGACACTGATGGTTGCAGGCCAGTTAAGAGGCCAAAAATACTGGCCTACACTGGCCAAATCAGGATTAGCACGCCCTCTTTTTTGGTGCTGTTAGAGCATTTTGTATTTCCCCTCAATTTTGGAAGGGGGGGTGTCTCTATCACTGGGGTCTATGGCAGTTTATTCAGTGGTCTGCAACCTGACGGTGTACGTGTACATGTGTGCAAGTATTTAAAATTAACTCAGGCCCAAGATACAAAAACTCAAGTGTAGAGTAAACATGTCAGCAAACAAACAAAATAATGAACTTTACAAGTCTCATATCTGGGAAAAGGCTCCCTCTAACGGTTACGACTATGCACACTCTAATCTAAGTTGAAAACATTTGACATTGTCTTTCATTGACTTGACTCCTAAATTCCTTCAAGGGTAACCAATGTCACACCTGGGAATAAACAGGAATCTAACCAGGGGCCATCAGAAATGAAGACACACAGAAGGATCTGACAAAGACTCCTCAATTCCTTCCAGGATAACTCAGGTCACACCTTGAAATAAACAGGAATCGAACCAGGGGTAAACAGAAAAGAAAACAAGAAGAAGGATCTGAATAAAAGATTCACATGCTTCATACCAGACAGCCCCACCATGCAGTACACCATTGCACTTCCCACGGTAGCACGTTAGTATTAAGCCTATATGTTGACAAGTTTAAAACTAAGAAGAATTTTTTTGTTGGTCAAAATTAAACTTCAAATTGATTGAACATTTCTCATCAGTATAACACAGGAGAAACAAAAACTGCAATAAGTGCGTGGAGTATAAAAAGAAATTTGAGGGACATATTTTGCTGGGGTGTATATGCAATTGAAATTTAGCCAAGTACATAATGTACATGTAGATAGAATACACGAAACTATCTAGGGTCCAAAACTCAAGTGTAAAGTAAATATGTACCTACGTAGATAAACAGATATATATAGACTGTGCATGTGTGACATACATGTACATGTATGGAGCAAAACAAAAATCCCAAGCTCTATATATAAACCATGTCACATGGCTTGATGACGATGCTGTGTTTGTCCAGCGCCATCTTTACCAGATCTGCCTTATCAAAAAAATCAACTGTGCTCATACAGGGGAGAAAAAATACTTCAGTTTCAAATAAAGAACCTTCTATAAGTGATTTGCCTTGCATTATAAAGAGGTAAGAAAATATTGTCAGTTATTTTGAACGAGGTTAAAGGCTAGCTGTGTACTGTGAAATCACAGTGACGTAAAGTGAGTTCCAACAAAGCCTTCATGTATGCAGTAATAAGAGCAGGGAGAATCTACGGTGATCTAAAATAGACTTTGTCCATTTCAATATTTGAAATCAGTTCAGAAGATCATTAAAGATGTACTCTCAGTGCTCTCCAAAACTTGAACAGGAATTCCAAAAGGAATTAACAGGGTCATTTAACAATAAAAAAGTGGATATCTTTTGTCTGGCTACAAAATTGCAATTGAAAAGAACATATTCATACATATTCACTTTTTCCAAGATAGAACTCAAAACACCTTTTAGTCAAGTTTTTGTTTTCATCATTTTTAGTAACCATGCCTTTTTCTTCTTAAATACTATTTGAACACAGATACAAATGGCCACGGCTCTTGAGAAGATAAGCAACCATCTTGAGTGTGACATTTGCAAAGAAAAATATAAACGGCCCAAGGTGCTGGACTGCCAGCACAGTTTTTGCGAGAAATGTCTGGAGCAATACTACAAAACTACGTATGGAGGTCAACGAAAGATTCCTTGCCCGGTATGTCGACGGGAGATGGTACTTCCGGAGACACGCATTCAAGGCCTGAAAACAAACTTCCATTTGATGGGAATAGTCGAGGAGGTCTCATTCCAAGAAAATGAGCTTTGTTCAGTGGTCAAAACACCAGAAGAAGCAGCTACTTTGGAGGACATTCGTCAGGGGAAGGTAACAGGGAAGCAAACACCAGAAGAAGATGAGTCTAAATGCCAGAAACACATGGGGGAAGTAAAATGGTTTTATTGTGAGACCTGTGAAGAACTAATCTGCCGAGCTTGTACTGTAGTAGACCACTGCAAACCAAACCATCACTACATTGACTCTAAAAAGGCTTCCCACAAATACAAAATATCACTGAAAGCTTTGTTTGCAGATGTCAGCACTGACATCACAACACTTGAACAGGATTTTGCCACTGCATCACAAGCTCAGCAGAAATTTACACTGAACGTCACAAAGACGGTGAAAGCTGTGAAAGACAAGGCGGATAAAATGAGGGCTGAGATAACATCTCAAGAGACAAAGATGATTAACAAAATCAAACAGCTCCAGCAGGATCGCAACAGAACATATCATGAGCATCAGAACACACTGTCAATGATGCTACAAAGTAAAAAACGCTCGCTACAGACATCTCAGGATATCACTAACGCTGCATCTGACAATGACTTTTTGTCGCAATTCCCTATCATCAGCAAAAACTTGAAATCACTCAAGAGTCAAAATCCTCCCCAGATTGATCCCAAGCATTCATATCTGAGCTTCACCCCCGGTCAGAGAATTGGTGACATCAATCTGGGTGAAATTAAGGAAGAAGCAGTTAAGTGGGAAATGTGTCGCGAGTTTGTTAAAACGGGTACATTTACGAGAAAGTTGGATGTGGTTCACGGTATCACTGCTACTCAGCCTGGTGAGATTGCCGTGGGAGACTTTCTGCACAAGCGAGTGGTTCTCTGCAGCAATGAGGGTGAACGTAAGGGACTCATTCCCCTAACATCACGTAAGTTTCTTTCATGCTCATATTCATCAACACCAAACTTCCAGAGTTGTAACGAGTCACTGATTTTTGTGAGTAGAGTCAAGTTGAGTCATTTTAAAGAAGTGACTCAAGTCGAGTCAAGTCATTAGGTCAAGCAGGTCGAGTCGAGTTGAGTCGAGTCACAGTGTGTAGTGGAGTGGAGTGGAGTGGAGTCCAGTCAAGTATTTAGCTCGAGTCAATTCGAGTCACAAATATTTGAGCACTAAACAATAAAAAAACACAAAAGAGAAAGTCATTTTTTGGCTTTTCAAATATTGCATTTGGGCTACTACATGTGGCGACACCACATTTGACTCTTAATGTAAATAAAAAGGGGGTGCCAGCTGATCGTCATTCAACTAATGGGGACACTGATCAAACCACGTATGTATACTGTACGTATACAATATTCACGACCATTTAACGTGACGTGAACAAAAACCGGCACCGACGTTAAGTCATTGTTAAATTTTTTCGCAAATTTTTGATTTTATTTTTGGGACTCGAGTCTTATTAGCCTTCTTCGAGTCGAGTAGAGTCATTCTGATGAGGGACTCGAGTCGAGTCGAGCCATTTGCTTGCAGTGATTCGAGTCGAGTCGAGTCATTTGCCCTTAGGGACTTGAGTCGAGTCGAGTCACCAAGAATTGTGACTCAGTCAATGACTCGAGTCGTTACAACTCTGCAAATTTTATAATGTTGTGGTACACGTAATTACAAGTCAGTCTCCCATGCGCATATGCAGATCTGACAACTGAAAATGAAAACCAATAAAATACTAGCAAAGAATCGATATGTGCTGGCTGTTTTTATTTCCTGACAAATGTTCATTTTTTTTACATGTACGCCTACATGTATGTTAATGTGACGAGACAGGGAGCAAGTCTGGTTCATTGAATGAGAGGTCTAGACATGACCTAATTGTTTTGTCTATCCTAATCATAAAGTAACGGGTAGCCCACAATGTGCTCTAGGGGCTTATGTTATTTCAGTGTTTTCAGAGTAGAGACTGTGTAGACTGAGAGCAAGTCTACGCGGTTGTGATTAAATCTGTAGTGCGTATGCTGTCGCAGGGCGGGGCTTTTACCCATGCCTTCTATTTGTGGCCACGGTTTAAAAAGCTGTGCACAGGGCGGAAAAATTAGCTTGTTCGTATTCATGTTTTTTTTAGGAAGTTCAAAGTCATTCCAGTGCGAATTTGGTCGGTTGTGCCGAGGCCGGTGTGGGGCTTGACCTCGCGTGTAAACAGTGGTGTTCTGGCTAGTGTGAGACTGTCGGTTAGATAATTATTTTATAGAGGTTCTTCAGTCATTCTATTTTATACGAGTTTTCAGTTGTGTCAGATTTGTGAATGAACCAGCCATAATCTTTCAGAATCAAAGAAGATTGTGGTCGCTAAGAGTTTATTTCACAGGAATTCAAAGTACAGACTATCAGTAACCAGTCGGAAGTTTATTTCCTCCAATTTGAGACTAAGGCCTTTAGATTGCTCAAGTACTTTCTAGGGTCTTGGGTACAATTTGGGCTGGGTATCAGCATCAGGGATGCTGATACCCAATTTCCATTATTGATGTGCAAACCCCATCTGAACTGAAACCGACCCGACCTGAAACCGACTTCAGGTCGGGTCGGGTTGTCCATCTTTTCAGTCGGGTCGGGTCGTTTTTTGGTTTTGCATTTTCATTTTCGGGTCGGTTTGGGTCAGTTCAGCCATCTTTGAAAAAAAACCGAAATAAACCAAAATTACCGAAACAGTTGAGAAATTTAGGTGATGCAATTTTTTTGACAGTCACTGTGACCGCAGCCCTAGTGTGGTGTGGCCACCGAGCGCACTTTCAAGTTTCCACGGTATTAATTTTTCCAGTCGGATGGGACTGACAGTGAAATAGATACATGTACATTGTAAAAGTTTTCATGATACCACGTTATGATACCATGCGTTTGTTCAATAAGCGGAGCTACTCTCGATCAACCCACTGAGTGTGACAGAGAGAGAGAGAGAGAGAGAGAGAGATGATGGTTTTGCAAAAAAATTCATGCCACCTGGGTAAGGGCAGGCACAAAAAAGTGATCACTTTGTCCAAGCGAGGTATTTTTTTTTGGTCGGGTCGGTATTACCTTATTTGTCGGGTTGGGTCGATTTTGTTTTGAGGGAGTTAAGATCGGTTTCAGTTTGAATTCGGTTTATATCTCTAATGTTTCGGGTCAACCCGACACGATGCACATCATTAATTTCCATGGCTCCAGGCTTGAAATCGACTCCCAGGAAAAATTTGCCACAAATGGTGTCAGACGAGGTATGATTGGTACTGATTAGGTGAGAGTTGCTCGGAGAGAAAACTTATAATCAGAGTAAAGCAGAGTTAAATAAAGAGTGAGTGAACAGTACAGAGAAGATGAGTAAAGAGACATTTTTGCAAAGGGACAAAGACCTCAAGGCTAGGAAAATTAGAGATGAAAAGTGCACAATTGATCAGATATCAGCTTGAGGTTGCCAGTAGAGAGTTCAGGTTATCTTTCCACAGGGGAGGCAAGTCCCTTGGCGATTACAAAGTCGCCTGGACCTGCCGCCATTCCGGAAAGACAGTACACTTTGGGGAAAGTAACCACTGCAGAGAACCATTTCAGGCATTCCCCAAATGAATAAGTAAAAGAATGCAGTGCAAAAAAGTCCAGTCTTTTCGGTCGACTCCGAGTGGCATTGCAGACGAAAAGAGTGGTCAAGGAGACTATTTCTCCGAAAAGATCACATAGTGACCTTTTGGGTTTTGCAATCATCCAGTGTGCACAAAGGTGAAGAACCCGACACAGAGTACACAGGTACAGACCATGGCAGTGTCAGGACAGTGCACCAGTATCTTCTGTCCTGCATGGCAGTCCTCAGATCTGATGCTTCAAGCCCCGTGTCACGTTTCAGTGTGTCAATGTTTGTAGAGTCCATCCTACTCTATGGCTGTGAGGCATGGACCCTTACTACAAGGCAAGAGGCTCAACTTGATGGCTGCTACACTTGCAAGCTGAGGATGGCTCTAGATGTGAGTTGAAGAGACAAAGTCAGGAATGAGGTGCACTTTGGCAGCCTGCCAAGGATCTCTACAACTATCAGGCTTGCATGGTCACTGCGTTCGGCATCCAGAGATAGCTGTAAGCCAACTCATCTTATGGGAACCCACTCATGGAGTAGTCTCTTGAGGTGGGCAGACGCTAACCTACATGGACCACCTGCGTCGTGATACTGGACTAGACTCCGCATCCGATATCAGGACGGCCATGGGAGACCTTGATATGTGGCTTGCCTTTGATGCAGTCCAACGAGAATCAACTTGATGATTTTGTTTGTGGTGGGAGGTCTACCTTTGCTCTTGTGGCCGTGTTTCGGTGCTGGTTACCCATGACCCCAGATATTGAAGTCTTCGTCTCGCTCAAGCTTTGTTCTGTTATTTGTCTTGATGGTGATTGGTTGCTCGTGGTTGTAGGTCATGAATTTCGTTTTTCTGGCATTCATTTTCAGACTAACTTCTCCCACAGATGTTTCAACCCTTTGAAGTAGCTCCTGAGAGAGAACCAAGAGTTGTCAAAGTGAGTGGGGAGGGTTTGAAGTGGTCCAAAAGACGACCATTTATTACCACAGATACATATAACTGCAAAGTGTTATGGAGAGAGTACTTCCTGCACTTTGAGTCCTGCAAAGTGGTGAATCAATGAGTGAGCAACAGGTTGCTAGCTATCTGCATGGGAGCGCCCTTAGATTGTTAGGGACATTCCTGCAGGACAGAGACAGGTGTAAAGTGAGCCATTCAAGTTTGCTGGAGAGAAGATTTGGTTCAGGCAGGCAGCGGAAGAACTATTTTGTCAAGCTGAGGTACCACTGACAAGGACTTAAATAGAGCCTACAAGAGTTGGGTCAAACTATACAAAAGCTGACTGCAAAAGCATATCCTGACATACAGGAAGAGTCACGTGACCATCTAGCACAAAATCATCTCCAAGACATAGTAGAGAGTCCGACACTGAGAGAGGGCATCAAAAGAGCCTGTCCGAAGAATCTATATGAAGCCATATTTGAGCTGCACTAGAAACAGAGTACTTCGAAAAGGTTGAACAACAGACAGCTCTCAACGGCAGGAGCAGTAGATACTGGTTAAGAGCAGAATAGTGCTGAGTGGGCTGAGAGATGCTGGGCTAAAGTTTAAGCCTAGCAAGTATCACCTTTTTGAGAAGTGGGTGGCCCACTTAGGCCATATAATTTCTTCAGATGTTGCCACAGACCCAAAGAGAGTCGAGGCCATCAGAGATTGGCCATTGCCTACATGTAAGTGTGTCCAGGATGTAAGGAGCTTTGTAGGCCTTGCATCCTACTATAGAAAGTTCATCAAAGGGTTTACAGAGATAGCTAGTCTTCTGGATGCCCTGACAGGAAGTTGCGAGAGTTTCAGTAATGCAAATCAGCTTGTGTGGAAGACAAACTATTTTGTATGTTTTGGGGGTCTGTAACATTTAGAAATACTGGTCCTTCATAGCAATAGCAGGAATCCTTCAGGGAGACACTTTAGCTTCATTCCTCTTTGTGATTGTGGTGGACTACATCCTTAGGCAAAGTCTGGATTCCATCCACGACAAATTAAAGGTCTACCCATCGAGCAGAAGAAATCAAGACGTCATCAAAGCCTGCATCTCACTGATCTTGACTACACGGATGATCTGGCCCTCATGCACGGCTGATCAACTGTATGATGCTCAAGACCTGTTAACATTTCTCGAGAATGCTGCAGCCTAGGTCGGCCTGTTTTCAAAGCAAAGAAGACCGAGTACATCACCATCAATGAGTGTGAGAGCCACTACCCCATATACACCAGTGACAACACCCAACTTAGAGAGGTCAGTGATTTCAGGTACCTTGGGTCCTATGTTGCCGACAGTAAGGACTTCTTCACTCGCAAAGGAATAGCCTGGAGTGCCTGTAACAAGCTTCATGACAATCTGGCAATCAAGTATAGCACAATCGACAAAGCTGGCCTTCTTCAGAGCCTGTGTGGAGAGCATTCTTCTCTATGGAGCCAAAACTTGGACAATGAAGGAGCTTCATGATCACCTTGATGGCACATACACCTGGCTTCTTATGAGGGTGCAGAACATCTCATGGCGTGAGAACTGGAGATAAGAACGATTTACGGAGACATTCCACCTATCTCTGTTATTGTTGCTCAACCGAAAGTTCGCTTTGCTGGCCACTGCTACCATGCTGTAAACCAGGTCATATCTGATGTATTATGTTGGAGACTTCCATGCCCTAATAGAGGACGAAGACCCTTCAACTACATGTGATTGGCAGAGACACCCAATGTGAAATTGAAGACCTTCCGTACATAATGAGGGATAAAGACACCTGGCGTGGCATTGTGAATGAGATCTCGGTTGCACCCGCTAGATGATGATGATGATGATGATTATAATACATTTATTATTAGTCGAACACTTCTAGGCTAAGGTCCTTGGGACTTTACAAGTTACCTTGCTTGACAGGTACCTTGTGTTAAAACAGGTACCTTGCATTATCAGTAATGGAAAACAACAACAAAAAACCCAAAGACTTGGGGTCGAACATTTTCCCTGATAATAGCAGAATGTTGTATTGACAGTGCTCTTCGTTAACATCAGGATGCTGCTGTATTACTATTATTATTGGGCAACAGTTTTGACTCCCGGGCACAAAACCATTTGCCCTTAACTTCTGAGGTTAGCGAAGGTGCAATATGACAAATGAACAACTTGAAAATGGAAGCATTTCACAAAAGTAATAATTCTAATATTCAGAATATATTCAGTGTCTAAAAGTGAACTTAATAAAACTCATGATGATGTAATTGTAAAAGAGGGCATCCTTTTTCTAGCAGCATGTCAAAAAGTTGATATTTGTTTCAATATTTAAAGAATATTTGTCAAAAATCTACCAAATTGCTCATAAATATTCTTTGCACAATAAAACGAATTTTCCAAAGTTTCATAAGGATAATCTCAACAAACTGGAAGTTATTGTCAGAAAACTTTGAAAATGATCCATTTTTAAAATCGAAATTCATCTTTCGCTATCTTTCAGTGATCATTGTTGTAAAAATAACAATGTCAGCTTCATTATCAAAGATTAGGCCTACCACCCTAGTACTGTGAGGACATCAAACCAGAAATCGGGGTGTCATAATTGAACAACTTTACATTGCTAAAAAAAATTGTAAAAAATAATCAAGTTAGATATAAGAATACATCTATTTTTAGGTTTGAACCATGAGAATAGCAGAGAGAGTACAAATACAACTTCAAAAGTATTTGCGAAACTGTGTGCCTCCAAGATGTTGCATTTAATCACGTTGGCAACTGCACGATGTTTATCAATACTAGACAGGTCTAAATAAGCAAGTCATGTGTTCATTGGGTATTTTATGAGGACTGAGAATAGTGACGCTGCATTTATATACTATGCATATGTTACATTTGAGTTTTTCTTTTAATACCCACAGGACCACAGGCAGTTGCAGCCACGCACAATCCTGAGAAACGCTTGATTGTGTTGGAACTTGATAGCAAGTATGTCAAGGTGTTCAACATGAAGGACAACACTCTTGTTATGCAGTTCCCAACGGTGTCTAACCATCAAGTAGACAAGACACTTGTGGACCTACAGAGCACAGCAGTCAGGACAAATGGAACCATTTTAGTAGGCGACACAAGAAGGATGGTGTGGACTGAACACAAACCCACTAATGGTGAGATCCTACACACCATACCAGTACAGACTCCACCTTGGTTCCTGGCTATTGATGACGACACTGACAGAGTTTTCATCAGTGGACGTGAAACAAATCAGGTAGATGTTGCCAATAGCAAAGGGACTACGCTCTTCACCATCCAGCCAACCATTGATGGTCAACCAGTGTTGCGCACCCAGGGTGTATGCTGCGACAGGTCAGGTATCTACCTTGGAGTGACGCAATCTCGGTTTGGCACTAATCATATTCACCATTACGACCTAGATGGCAGGTTTCTTGATTGCCTGGCACAGGATCTGTATCTCCCACAGGCAATGACATTCACATCGGATGGGCAGCTGGCAGTGGATGACTGGCATTCAGTCAAAATGTATCGCAAGGTGTGATGCCATCCAACATAACACTGACAACAATGCATGTACAGACATGTAGCAGTTATCATCCCTACAGCAAATGTTGAGGATGAAATTGTCCATTCATTTCAGCACCAATCAGCATTTTAAAGAATTAAATTCTATACCTTTGTTTGTATAGTTTCAAGTTAGATTCAAAACTTTGCATGGTAGCCATTTCAGCTAACTGAAAATGGTGAAAAAATTCTCATTGCAGTTTCGGATTCAACAAAAAAGTATTAATTTGTTTGCAATAAATAATCTAATTGTAAAATTTAAATGTTCAAGTAGAGTTTTAATTGTTTAACAGTTCTCCACTTTACCGGTGTGTTATGGTCACAAGACCTTGTAAATTCCCTTTATGTATTGTTCCTAAAAGTACATGTACATCTACTCATTCTATACTGTGCTATCTGTACATTACATTTGTTTCATAAAACATCATTCTGTTTTACTGTTAACTTCACTTTTTAAAGCCACGTAGGATCATTTGCAATTACCCAGATAAGTACCTACCGATTTAATGACAAAAACCTCAAAGTGAAGAAAGGACTAGTAACAAATACCCTGTGAAATAATTCCCCCTGAAATGGTATTGTCAGAAAACAATCATTGAAGGTGGTTTCAAAATGGGATGCCTACAGAATCCAGGTACGAAATCCAGAATTGTGCATTGTTTTGTTTTCTTCAAAATGTATAGTAGCCACTAAGATTAGACTTAAACAGAATACCTTAATATGCACCGTACTGGTACTTAAAATATTGAACACTTTTGTTGCTTCGGGAAAAAAACCCTGGAAAAAGCAAATGATCCTACACAAAATGTACCTTTAAGCATACACATCACTATGAAAGGTAATCAAGATAATTTTAAAAATTAGTCTTTTAATACTCATTCAGTTTCTTTAAAAAAAAAAAAGCTTTTTGTATTTTTCCCCCATTTTTGTAGTTTTTCCATAGAAATCTGTTTACTGTTATTATTAAAACCTTGCATTTATATCAATGAGACACTAATGTGGATGATCATTTAATCATTGAAATGTCTGCTTAAGATGAGCAAAATACTTATCCTATTAATTTGGTTTCCTGTCTGAATTCACAGAATAAAAACTTGTGTAAACTTTACTAACAAGGGATTATCTTGAAGGAAATTTTTATTATTTTTTTTGTAAGGTAAACAAATTCCTCAAGTGTGAAAGGTTGCCAATCATTTAAACACATGTTCAAATCAATGGTATTTAATTTCAGGAAGCTATGGCCTCCGTTGCCTTGATTTTGGCCTGACAGCTCCTTGAAATGTCCTTGCCTTTTCAAGAGTTAAATTCCAGACCTCTGTTTTCATTGTTTTACCTATTTGGTTGCCATTTCAGAAAAACTTCAAAACAATGAAAGAATTACCCCCTCATACAGTTTGAGTTTCAGCAAAGAATTATTGAATTTTGATGACACTTTTCAAACTCTGTTGCAACAATTAAATATTCAAATTGACTTGTAAAATCAAAAGTTTGAAACGAAATGAGCAGAAATAAATTCATTCATTTATTCAGAATAAGAGTTCACTCACCACTCTTTGAAGTTCTTTGTAGTCGCTCTTTTCTTCATCTAAAACTATATTGCTATTCCACTTGGAACCCTCAACCCCCAAAGAAACCCATAAAGTGAAATCTCCTGAATCCAACAGAATCCCACAACTCAGATGAACCATACAACAGAAATGGACCACTGTTGAATTTGCTTGAAACTATCACATGTGGTTCAATGTGTGAATAACTTTAATTTTTCCCAAGTTTCCGCAATAAAAACATTCATCAATTATTTTTGGATTACCTTTTAAATTTTTGTTTGATACATAAATACGCAGACAATTTTATGAGTGGATTCCCAGTTGGCCAAATAAATTCCAGATCTCTTGGACCAGTGTGCAAGTCTTCATAGGCGCATGACAAGGTCAATGGTTTCACCTTTTCATCAGATTCCCAACATTTAATTATGCCACAGCGCCCTCTATTGGTGATGGCTCTCCCTTTCTTAATTATTATTATGCCACAGCGCCCTCTATTGGTGATGGCTCTCCCTTCCTTAATTATTAAGTGTCTGTGATTTTTCTGCATTTATATTAAAAACTGATGATATAAATAAGAAAATTATTGCCTCTTTGGCCATTTTTCATAGAAATTCCAACAAATTTCTTTCAGAATCTGTTCTGTGAAAAGGATTTTAAAAACCACTTTTTCGTTTCCCTACAAATTAACTTTGGCTGTACCTTGTAATTTGCCAGGCTGGAACCCTGACCATGCAATACGGTCCATGTTAGTCATCTTCACCTGATGACTAATATGGGTCATTCTAGACATTGAGGGTCCAAAGTGTGACATCATTCCTGTGCCTGTTTCCTCTGAACTTTGTAATTTGCCATTCAAGTATCATTACAAATGACTTCCATTGTTTATTTGTTGGGTGCAGGTAGTTTGTTACATAATCACTCTTGAAAACTATAACTTCATTAATTAGGTAGTGCATGCAAAATTATAAAAATACATGTCAGGTGGAAGAGGGACAGGAAAAGTTAGCCACAAATGTATGGAATGCCCCATATATGCGAGTATTGATGAATTGGATTCAATTTTATTTCTTTTAAATTTTCAGCTGATAGTAGACCATCCACTGGGGCAGCAGGGGAAGGCTTCTCCCTCAGATATTTTGCTTTTTCATTTTGAAAGTTGATGCCAGCTCCTCACAGCTGCTATAATGAGCGCCATTTCTGGTGTTTTTTTTATGAAATCATTGTCCAGCTGCTGGCCAAATCATGCATCGTTGAATGCAGTGCTACCTACCTATGTGATGTGCACAAAATTATGCTTACTGAACAGCGCCCCAAATAGTCAGATGGTGTTCAGCCCCTTAACTCCCCCCAACATCAAACAAAAGTGAGATTTCACAAGTTCAAACTAAAACAAATCATTCCTCTTTTCTTCATTGTTTGGTCTACGTTTCGGTCTCGATAAATGTCTTGGTCTCAGAGCTGGAGGTCTAGACAAATTTTGTTCATCGGGTCGGGTTAGCAGGCCAAACTTGGCTGAAACATTACAGATATAAACCAAAACTGATCCAGACTCCCCAAATCTGACCCGACCTGTGACCTGACCCGACCTGATCCGACCCGACCCGAACAACTATTCAAGGAAAAATTGCTTTGAACCGAAATGAACCAACCAAACTTAACTTAACCTCTCCCACCAAAAGATAGGAAATCAATTTGACTGAAGCTGAATTTCAGAAAGCTATACAGCCTCAGTTGCCTTGATTTTGGCCTGACTGCCACCTTGAAAGGTCCCACACAAAAAGCAAATTTCTAATCCAAGTTTTTCCTTACAAACAAACAGATTGCCTCGTCTTTTCAAGAATTTAATTGCACACCTCTGTTTTGCATTTTTTGTTCCAATTTCAGAAAACTTGGAAATGAAAAAAAAATCATCACTTCAGTTTGGGGTTTCAGCAAAAAATTATGAATTTGTTTGCAAAGTATCAATCTTATTGGAAAAATGAAATGTTAAAGTATACTTTTAAGTGATTAACAATTCACCACTGTATGTAGATTTTAGTAGTCACAACAAGACTTTGTAAAGTACCTACTGATTTAATGACAGAAAGCTCAAAGTGAAGATAGGACTGGTAACAAATACCCTGTGAAATAATTCCACCAGAAATGGTATTGTCAGAAAACAAACACCGAAGGTAGTTTCAAAATGGGGTGCCTACAGAATCCAGTTACGAGATCCAAAGACTTGTGCATTATGTTTTCTCTGTTTTCTCCAAAATGTGTAGAAGCCACTCAGCTAAGGCTTGAACAGAATGCTTGTTATGCACCCTACTTAAAATATTGAGCACTTTTGTTGCTTCAGGGAAAATAAACCTGCAAAAAGCAAATGAAACCTTTAAGCGTACACATCACAATGAAAGTTAATCAAGATTACATTGTACTTTGAAAATTAGTCCTGTTTTTAGTATTCACTCAGTTTCTTTAAAAAAGTTTTGGTAGTTTTTGTTTCATTTTTGTAGTTTTTATAGACATCATGTTTATTGTTATTATTTACAAGCTTTGAACATTTACATTTATATCAATGAAACACTAATAATGTGGATGATCAGTTAATCATCAAAATGTCTGCTAAAGATGAGCACTGATATTTATCCTATTAATTTGGTTTCCTGTCTGAATTCACAGAATAAAGACTTGTGTAAACTTTACTCACAAGGGATTATCTTGATGGACATTTTTATTATTTTCTTTGAAGGATAAAAATTCTTCAAGTTTGATGGGTTGCCAATCATTTTAACAAATGTTCAAATCAATTGTATTGAATTTCAGGACGCTGTGGCCTCCGTTGCCTTGATTTTGGCTTGACAGCCTCCTTGAAATTTCCTTGCCTTTTCAAAAAATAAATTCCATACCTCTGTTTTCATTGTTTTACCTATTTGGTTGCAATTTCAGCAAAGAATTAATAAATTTTGATGACACTTCCAAACTATGTTGTAACAATTAAATATTTATATTGACAATCAGATATTTTGAAATGAAATGAGCAGAAATACATTCATTCATTTATTCAGAATAAGAATGAACTCACCACTCTTTGTAGATCTTTGTAGTCGCTCATTTCTTCAGCTAAAAAAAATACTGTATTTTTGTTCCACTTAATTGGAACTCCTAACCCCCCCAAACCCACAGAGTGAAGTCTCCTGAACCGAAAAGAATCCCACAACTCAGATGAACCACACAGATATTGACCACCATGGAATTGGATTGAAACTATCACCTAGCTGTGGTTAAATGTGACAAACATTAATTATCTACAACAAGTTTCCGGAAACTTATTATTTCGGTATTACCTTTGTTTGACACATGAATATGCAGACAATTTTATAAAGGGATCCCAGCTGGCCAAAGAACTTCCAGATTCCTTGGACCAGTTTGCAAGTCTTCATTGGCGCACGATGAGGTCAATGGTTTCACCTTTTTATCCGATCTCCTACAATGGAAAATGCCACAGCACCCTCTATTGAGGATGACTCTCCCTCCCTTGGTGTATATCAAGTCCATCATTTGTAATTTGTGCATTATGTTCGTTTGAAGCAACAAAAGTGCTGACAATCTTAAGGCCCTGTCACACTGTCAAGTTCTGGCATGGCGTTTGTACCACGACCAAGAAAACTGACTAAAACGTGGTGGGAATGCATATGATGCAAACATTCGCATAGATGGGCTATACAAACAAATAAATGTGGCTGCAATGCATTTTTAATAATCATAATTAAAGGTATAAAAAAAGACCAGGCTGGTCATCCTTCTGACTTACCTATCAGACTGATTAAAGAATTTGCTCCCGAATTAGCTCTTCCACTTACATGTGTATTCAATTCTTTCTTGAGGGAGGGTAATTTTCCTGAATTGTGGAAGACTGCCACTATCATACCAGTTCATTAAACTAAGCTTAACAACTAACCTGATGATTTTAGTTCTTGAATGCTGTATATTCTGAGAAAACAACATTTTAGGATCTTCATTTCAAATCAAAAGTTGCTGAGTCATGTTTTGAATTGCGACGGAATTCAGCGTTTTCATTCTTTTCATTTTTGCAGCTGAATCCGCAACCCATAGACACGTGTTACTGGCTACAGCTAGCAATAAGACATGCATCTATAAAAGCAACTTAAACCACATCCCATAGGAACGTGCTACTGGCTATTGCTAGCAATTACACATGAGTCTATGAAAGCAGCTGAGTCCGCATCCCATAGGCACGTGTTACTGGCTATGGCTATCAATAACACGTGTCTTTGACAGTAGCTGAATCCCAGTCCCATAGACACATGTTTTGCTATGACTAGCAAAAAGACATGCATCTATATAAAGCAACTTAAACCACATCCCATAGAAACGTGCTACTGGCTATGGCTAGCAATAACACACAGGTCTATGAAAGCAGCTGAATCAGCACCCCATAAACACGTGTAAATGGCTACAGCTAGCAATCACATGCGTTACTGCTGGCCATAGCCAATAATTATGGCCAATAATATCTACACATCCTTAAGCTGTGAAACAGGACCCACCTATGGATTGGTGCCAAGAAGTTGGATTGATGCCATGAAGTTCCATGGTGGCTACAGGGTTCCAGGCGTTCTTGCCATTCCACGAGCTGTCACTCCTCCCACTGGCTCATGTTGCTCACCAAACCAGCCCACAGGTGTCTGTAGGAAATAAACAGGGGTATAAAGTTAGCGCTCGCAAGCATGATGACACTTCAGTAATGTCTTGAGATACACAAGGTACCTCGCGATGAGGTTCTGATTTCTCTATTTAGTTTTCTCAATGATTGCTGTTCAGCATTTGCTGGTCCCAAGGGGCCAGCCAACAGTCCTCTTTACCTTACGGATCAACTCACTGTCACTTGTAAGCTGGGCAGTGCTGTTTTAAAGGATTACCTGTAACACATATGAACAGACTTAATGAACAGAATAAGACTGTGTGTACTCTGGAACCAACTTTAATTGCCATATGTTGAATGTAAACTATGTCCTGAACCAATGCTGATTGAGTGTAGTGGGTGTGATGGAGGGGCGAGATGCTCACTTGTTCATTTAGAAGCCATCCTCTCTTGACACTGTCTTGATGGGGAAGTTAGGCATATCCTGTTAGCGGCTGTGCCTGGTATGTCCTCTAATAAGTTGCTACTTGGGATCCAGTCACTGCTGCTCCCTGGGGGAAAAATTCAGAAGACAAAGTTGTTTTTTTGAGGAAAATATTCTCTTGAGTGGAAGACAACTGATACTGCTAATTTGAACATCTTGCATGTCCACTGAGTTTAGAAATCACAGTCGTCTATTTTCAAGTTAAATTTCATGGCTAGAACTTAAATGTTATCATATCCTTCTGAATTGGTTCAACAGCATTTTATGATCGTATCGGATCTTTTAGCTGAGTTCTTCAATTAGAATCTTTAAGTACCACGCCGAAAAAATACTTCACACCCCCATTATCTTGATGCTCCAGATATTATTGATTTCCTTGCATCTAATGAAAGTGTGTGGCAAATGAAAACTGAGCTTACCTGGTGTATAAGTCCAGATGCTACTCCCTGGTGAACCAACAGGGTAGCCCAGATCATTGACAGGTACAACAACAAAGCTGACAAGTGTCTTGCGTTGCCCTTGACTATGCTCATTGCTAACTGGAATTGGTATGCGGCGATCTGTTCAGTTGCCATGGTGACCAAACTAGGTGCGGTGGTAGGTGCATGAAGCATCAAGCTCAATGAAATATGGGTGAGCTGTGCAAATTAAATGAAATTGAAATTATAAAAAAAACTCACAATATGACATTATAATGATAAACTGTTTTTCATTATTTGGTAAGCTTTTGTAATTTTGGGGGCATTGTGTAGCTGTGAATACAACTACATGTATATAATAGGAGAGGGTTTGCAGATACACCAAGTAAAATGACTGTCTAAAAATACTATTTAATAATTGATTAAACTAATATTGCGCTCTCTCCACAAATACTGCATCAGACAGTTACTCCCTTTCCCTGTATCCTATCACCAACATTTGCTGAAATGCTCCAATTTTTCAATTATTTGTAATTATAATATTTTTTTACAGCTGAGATACAGACGGAACTCGGAAGTTCCGTCATTTCGAGTGCGACATTTTGACATTTGAGTACTCGTACGAGTACAAGTACGAGTATGAGTACTCTAAAAAAAAAAAAGAACTCGAGTTCAAGTAGTACTTGAGTACCAGTACCGAGTACGAGTACTACATATACTACACTGGAACAAAGAGTATATACACAACTGTACATATTATTACACCAAATATGAAAAGACCAATTAGATTCCTCATCTGGCTCATTTTTATAATTCTAATCCTAAATGAAACTATAAATTTTTTACCTGCAACCTTTTTGAATGTCTTTTATAGGTTTTAACGCAATTTCAATGCCCCCTTTTTAAAGTAAGATAAATTGATTGCAACAAAGTCTGTAACAATAATATGTATTTCTCTATATAGACAATTTTCTTTAGTCAGATCTGTATGCACAATGTTTAAACCTTTTCTAATATTAGTATTTAATGTCGTATTTTGTTTTTTAACTCGGTAGGCCTTTAACTTTTTTAAAAATGTATTTTTTTAAAATGTAAATCACGTGCAATTCAGCTGTGGCTGCCATTTCGGATTTGTTAATAAACCATGTTGAATTGAATTGAATTGAATAGATAATTAGTTAAAACAAAATGTAAGAGTCAGTTCATATAAATACTTCATATCAGTGTCCACGGTAAAACAAAACGAACTCTTAAAAAAGCAAAGGAAATCTGAATTTGGTGGCACTTGTCTGAAAGCAATTTACAAATTATTTGCGCTTGTAAAAATATGCTAGCTTTAGAAAGTTTTTTGTTTCCTGAATTTTAACTTAAATCAAAGAAAAAACACAAAATAGTTTTCTCTATTATCATTTCTTGATTGATGCTGCAGAAAGAGCTACAAACAGTTGCCTGAAATTTTCTCATCAAATATTAAAAAGACAAAGTTAAAAAAAAAATCATCACAGCCAACTGAACAGTACTCTGCGTTCCCAGCTGGCAAGTTGCTTTTTATTGTTTAGAGGGGAAAGGTTTGTGGGGTGGTAAAATAGCATTAAATGCATGTTTTTTTCTAGTTGTGAAAACAAATGGATTTTAAAAAGTACATATAACATGAGGCTGTGTACCGTAGTGATATAGTTAACTGTGTGACGTTGTTTAGCATTTTGGCTGGGTGACCTTTAAAGAAAGCACAAATATACATTTGTAACGAGCCCCAAAATTTGCCGAAAATTACAAAACATGTGACCTCTTACCATGGGAATGGGCCTTATACATATTTTAAACGACTATGTTTGGTCAATTTTTGATCATGGACACTTGGCAACTCGTATTCAACAAGTGGTCAATTTTACGACTGAAAATTCTGAATGACGCTAGTTTGTGAGCTAAGTCAAAGGAATTATAGAAATTCAAACTTGTTCATTTGGGGATATTGTACCAACAGAACCACAAAAAAGAGAGATTAAATGAGAACATCATGTCACAGAATGGAAGGAAAAAGTAGGTACAGGTACATTATTACCTCATTTGATGAAACTAGTTTACAAGTTAAGAATGACATGTACAATGCACAGATGTATGGACACTGATGGTTGCAGGCCAGTTAAGAGGCCAAAAATACTGGCCTACACTGGCCAAATCAGGATTAGCACGCCCTCTTTTTTGGTGCTGTTAGAGCATTTTGTATTTCCCCTCAATTTTAGAAGGGGGGGGGGTGTCTCTATCACTGGAGTCTAAGGCAGTTTATTCAGTGGTCTGCAACCTGACGGTGTACGTGTACATGTGTGCAAGTATTTAAAATTAACTCAGGTCCAAGATACAAAAACTCAAGTGTAGAGTAAACATGTCAGCAAACAAACAAAATAATGAACTTTACAAGTCTCATATCTGGGAAAAGGCTCCCTCTAACGGTTACGACTATGCACACTCTAATCTAAGTTGAAAACATTTGACATTGTCTTTCATTGACTTGACTCCTAAATTCCTTCAAGGGTAACCAATGTCACACCTGGGAATAAACAGGAATCTAACCAGGGGCCATCAGAAATGAAGACACACAGAAGGATCTGACAAAGACTCCTCAATTCCTTCCAGGATAACTCAGGTCACACCTTGAAATAAACAGGAATCGAACCAGGGGTCAACAGAAAAGAAAACAAGAAGAAGGATCTGAATAAAAGATTCACATGCTTCATACCAGACAGCCCCACCATGCAGTACACCATTGCACTTCCCACGGTAGCACGTTAGTATTAAGCCTATATGTTGACAAGTTTAAAACTGAGAAGAATTTTTTTGTTGGTCAAAATTAAACTTCAAATTGATTGAACATTTCTCATCAGTATAACACAGGAGAAACAAAAACTGCAATAAGTGCGTGGAGTATAAAAAGAAATTTGAGGGACATATTTTGCTGGGGTGTATATGCAATTGAAATTTAGCCAAGTACATAATGTACATGTAGATAGAATACACGAAACTATCTAGGGTCCAAAACTCAAGTGTAAAGTAAATATGTACCTACGTAGATAAACAGATATATATAGACTGTGCATGTGTGACGTACATGTACATGTATGCAGCAAAACAAAAATCCCAAGCTCTATATATAAACCATGTCACATCATTTTTAGTAACCATGCCTTTTTCTTCTTAAATACTATTTGAACACAGATACAAATGGCCACGGCTCTTGAGAAGATAAGCAACCATCTTGAGTGTGACATTTGCAAAGAAAAATATAAACGGCCCAAGGTGCTGGACTGCCAGCACAGTTTTTGCGAGAAATGTCTGGAGCAATACTACAAAACTACGTATGGAGGTCAACGAAAGATTCCTTGCCCGGTATGTCGACGGGAGATGGTACTTCCGGAGACACGCATTCAAGGCCTGAAAACAAACTTCCATTTGATGGGAATAGTCGAGGAGGTCTCATTCCAAGAAAATGAGCTTTGTTCAGTGGTCAAAACACCAGAAGAAGCAGCTACTTTGGAGGACATTCGTCAGGGGAAGGTAACAGGGAAGCAAACACCAGAAGAAGATGAGTCTAAATGCCAGAAACACATGGGGGAAGTAAAATGGTTTTATTGTGAGACCTGTGAAGAACTAATCTGCCGAGCTTGTACTGTAGTAGACCACTGCAAACCAAACCATCACTACATTGACTCTAAAAAGGCTTCCCACAAATACAAAATATCACTGAAAGCTTTGTTTGCAGATGTCAGAACAGACATCACAACACTTGAACAGGATTTTGCCACTGCATCACAAGCTCAGCAGAAATTTACACTGAACGTCACAAAGACGGTGAAAGCTGTGAAAGACAAGGCGGATAAAATGAGGGCTGAGATAACATCTCAAGAGACAAAGATGATTAACAAAATCAAACAGCTCCAGCAGGATCGCAACAGAACATATCATGAGCATCAGAACACACTGTCAATGATGCTACAAAGTAAAAAACGCTCGCTACAGACATCTCAGGATATCACTAACGCTGCATCTGACAATGACTTTTTGTCGCAATACCCTATCATCAGCAAAGACTTGAAATCACTCAAGAGTCAAAATCCTCCCCAGATTGATCCCAAGCATTCATATCTGAGCTTCACCCCCAGTCAGAGAATTGGTGACATCAATCTGGGTGAAATTAAGGAAGAAGCAGTTAAGTGGGAAATGTGTCGCGAGTTTGTTAAAACGGGTACATTTACGAGAAAGTTGGATGTGGTTCACGGTATCACTGCTACTCAGCCTGGTGAGATTGCCGTGGGAGACTTTCTGCACAAGCGAGTGGTTCTCTGCAGCAATGAGGGTGAACGTAAGGGACTCATTCCCCTAACATCACGTAAGTTTCTTTCATGCTCATATTCATCAACACCAAACTTCCAGAGTTGTAACGAGTCACTGATTTTTGTGAGTAGAGTCAAGTTGAGTCATTTTAAAGAAGTGACTCAAGTCGAGTCAAGTCATTAGGTCAAGCAGGTCGAGTCGAGTTGAGTCGAGTCACAGTGTGTAGTGGAGTGGAGTGGAGTCCAGTCAAGTATTTAGCTCGAGTCAATTCGAGTCACAAATATTTGAGCACTGAACAATAAAAAAACACAAAAGAGAAAGTCATTTTTTGGCTTTTCAAATATTGCATTTGGGCTACTACATGTGGCGACACCACATTTGACTCTTAATGTAAATAAAAAGGGGGTGCCAGCTGATCGTCATTCAACTAATGGGGACACTGATCAAACCACGTATGTATAATGTACGTATACAATATTCACGACCATTTAACGTGACGTGAACAAAAACCGGCACCGACGTTAAGTCATTGTAAATATTTTTCGCAAATTTTTGATTTTATTTTTGGGACTCGAGTCTTATTAGCCTTCTTCGAGTCGAGTAGAGTCATTCTGATGAGGGACTCGAGTCGAGTCGAGCCATTTGCTTGCAGTGACTCGAGTCGAGTCGAGTCATTTGCCCTTAGGGACTTGAGTCGAGTCGAGTCACCAAGAATTGTGACTCAGTCAATGACTCGAGTCGTTACAACTCTGCAAATTTTATAATCTTGTGGTACACGTAATTACAAGTCAGTCTCCCATGCGCATATGCAGATCTGACAACTGAAAATGAAAACCAATAAAATACTAGCAAAGAATCGATATGTGCTGGCTGTTTTTATTTCCTGACAA